ATTTCTCCAGAATTTAATTCTAGTACCTGCTGTGGCTAGTGTATGAAGGCAAAATAATGAGGTATGTGTGCATATGGGTGGAATTTGGGAGTGGTGAAAAATAGTAACTCTAGCCAAAGTATTCTGAGCTCGGAGATTACACTCTAGACTTAGAGTAGACAAACTGTAGGTAGTACATAGAACAAAGGGAATTCCACTACTACAAGATATCTCAGCTTCTTTTGGTTAAATTAGAGGTGGTTAAAAAAATAAAAAAGAAGCCAGGCGGTGGTGGTGCACGCCTTTAATCCCAGCACTTGGGAGGCAGAGGCAGGCGGATCTCTGTGAGTTCGAGGCCAGACTGGTCTACAAAGTGAGTTCCAGGAAAGGCACAAAACTACACAGAGAAACCCTGTCTCAAAAAAAAAATAAAAATAAAAAAATAAAAAATAAATAAATGAAATAAAAAAGAAACTGGATGTAGTGGTACGTGCCTGTAATCCATTCATTTAGGAGATAGAAGCAGGGCATCAGAAGTTCTAGGTCAGTGGTCCTCCATCTTCCTAACACTGCAACCTTTTAATACAGTTCCTCATGTTGTGGTGACCCCAACCATAAAATTATTTTCGTTGTTACTTCCTAATTGTAATTTTGTTACTGTTATGAATCCTAAGGCAAATATCTGTATTTTCCAATGATCATAGGTAACCCCTATGAAAGGGTCATTTGACCTCCAAAGGGGTCAAGACCCACAGGTTGAGAATTGCTGTTCTAGATTATATCTGGCAATATAGTGAACTTGAGGCCAGCCTGGGATACATAAGATCCTATCTTTAAAAAAAAAGTGGTAGACCATAGGAGGAATGTGCACTTTGACAGGACACTAAATGGCTCTCCTTAAGCTTTTGGCCTGAGACCAAGTGTTCTAAGACACCAGAGAGAGAGAAAAAAAATGTCCCTTTGGCTATGGAGTCAGGGTCATTCTAGTGCAAAAGATGAAGTGTAGCCATGGCGACCAAAGGAAGCATGAGTCTTTTTCAGGGGAGCACTATGCATGAAGCTGTAAAAGAACTATTCTTATTTGAGTCCTGATCTGCCAAAGGTGACAATGAAAAGCTCTCCACGTGGGGAGGGAGCGATTGCCAAGTCTTGTTACTATGATCCCTGTTCTAAGATTAGGCTTCTCCTTGGAGACCTTTCAAGTCACCACAGGTACCACTGAAGACATTTTGCAGAGGAAGCACCTTTTTGTCTGCCTTCTAAACACCAAATCAAAGAGCTCGTTGGATAAATCCGTCTACTGAAATACTGTTTGGCCCACTCTCTGAACTTGCTTGCCCATTTCTCAGTCTGCACTGCCCCCCACCACGCCCCCACCACACACACACACACACACACACACACACACCAACATCCTGCATTGTGTTTCTCCTTTATAATGATTAAAAACAAGGACCAGACGTGGTGGCACAGGCCTTTAATCCCGGCATTCAGGAGGCAGAGGCAGGCCAGTTTCTGAGTTCGAGGCCAGCCTGGTCTACGAAGCAAGTTCCAAGACAGCCAGGGCTACAAAGAGAAACCCGGTGTCTAACAAAACAAAACAAATCCAAAAACTAAGTCTTACAAGTTTTATGGCTTCTTCCTTTATTTTGAAAAACTGAACAAAACCTTGTTAAACATTTATTTAGCACACAGAGGTCAGAAGATAATTTACAGGAGTCTGTTCTTTCCTTCCACCCTGGGGGGTCCTGAGAATTGAACTCAGGTCGTCAGGCTTGGCAGCAAGCTCTTTACCTGCTGAGCCATTTCACTGGCCTCCCTTTGTGAATTCTTGATCTCAGTCTCTACCTCTCAAGTGCTTTCTTTTGAATTTTTAAAAAAAAATTATTAAATACGACATGGGCTTCATGTAGTGCCTTTTAAACATCTGAATTTGGATGCCTAGAGGCTTTGGTGGGCTCTCCCTCCTCACATTGATCATCTATCATTAGCTTATACAGGGCTGAAGGATTGTTTTTTTTTTTCATGGCCCTTTAGGCTTTTTGATTTGTATACTTACACTTTAGGGATAAGTCATGTACTGATGCATACCGAACATAAATGTTCTCCAGGAATAGGCAGCACTCTGGCAGAGGCCCTTTTTCTGCCAGTGAGGCAGGCCCCGAGTCTTTTGTGAGTGTGTGTGTATGTATGTGTATGCTAGTACATGCTGAATGAAGCCGGAGGACAATATTGACTGTCTTTTCTGCTGCTCTCCACCTTATGTTTTGAGACAGAATTAGAACCCAGAGCTCACAGATTGAGCAAGAGTAGGTAACCAACCAGCTCCAGAGGTCATGTCTGCCTTCCCAGCGGTAGGATTACAAGTGTGTCCAGAACCACACCCCGCTACATGGGTGCTAGAGAGGCAAGCTTAGGTGCTCATATGTGCATGGCAGCACTTTGTCAATTTATGCCCCATCCCAGCTTTCTAAAAAAAAAAATTGATGCATGTATAGTGTGTGTGTATGTGTGTGTGTGTGTGTGTGTGTGTGTGTGTGTGTGTGTGGTGCCATGACACAAACTTGTAGGCCAGAGGACAACTTTGTGGAGAGGGATTCTGTCTTGCCACCTTAACAGTTTCGGAGGATTAATCTTGGGTGGTCAGACTCTCACAGCAAGCAATTCAGTCACTGAGCCTTCCGGCTGGACCCAGTCCCCAGCTCATAATTCTAAATCAGCACCATAAAGTGCCACCTTCTACGTACCAAACTATTCTGTGTGAACATGGTTCACTGAATGATAAGAGCCTCTACTCTAATGGGGAAACCTTTACATTTTTACCCAAAGAGGGATGCCATACTGTAAGACCACAAAAAGGTGCCCATATCAGAGCAAATAAAGGCACAACATCTGAAGCTATTTATTTATAGGCAGGGTCTCACTGTGTAGCCTAGGTGCTGTGACCTCCTGTGTCTGCCTCCAAGACTGCTGGGATCATAGGTGTGCAGTACATGCTTGGCTATAACCCAGGACTTGAAAAATGTAGAAACAGGGAAAGCTACACTGTATGTCTGATAGCTTCTGAACCTCACCTAGATACAGGTGTTACAGGTAATATGCTGTGCCAGACCTCATGGAAGATTTGGGGCTCTCACATGGCACCACAAACAGTTTTATTTATTTACTGTGGTTCTAGGGATAGAACACAGGGCCTCATAAATGCTAGGCAAGTGTTCTACTACCGAGTCATACCTCCAGCTCTATAGGGGACCTTAAAATCAAGTTCAAAATCCATGTCCAACATCTCTGCCTCCAACTTGGGTGCCTAGACTCACACTACTACGAATTCAGAAGGGGAGAGGCAGTAGCCAACAGTGACTTTCTGGTGTTAAAAGCAGGTTTCATGGTCAAGTTTTCATAATGGTTGTTTGGCCCAACCAAGAAGCTTACTAAGATGGCCTCAAACTCTGCATTTTCTCCTCTGGTATTAATAGCTACAGATGGCAACTTACACTCATGCATTTTTTATAATTTTAAAAATTATTTTTGTACGTGTATGGGTGTTTTGCCTGAATGTAAAAAAAAAAAAAAAGTAGAAAAGAGACACCATATGATTCTTTGAAAAAATATATCAGTGTATGGGCATACTCCCTTATCCCCCACCAAACCACCAGGACCCTGTCAGCACAAACGAAGCATTTTTGCCCAGGCACCCATACTAAAAAGTGTTGTGTTTACTACTTTGTCACGTTGAAGAAATTTTTTTTTTTTTTTTTTGGTTTTTTCAAGACAGGGTTTCTCTGTGTAGCTTTGCGCCTTTCCTGGGACTCCCTTTAGAGACCAGACTGGCCTTGAACTCACAGAGATCTGCCTGGCTCTGCCTCCCGAGTGCTGGGATTAAAGGCGCGCGCCACCACCGCCCCGGCCATGAAGAAATTTTTATTGCAGGCAATTTGTTTTCTGTCAAACTAATTTGACCAAATTATCTCCTGTGAGTAGGAAGCCGGGGAAGCAGCAGATCAGGATGCTAAACTGGTGCAGGCTGGTGATAAAAGGTTCAAAATAGCAAGAGCTGAGGAGAAAGAGTTCAGAGCGGGCCTTGGGCACACCTTATCATGACTGAGTTACCCTTCAAAAAACGTTAGAGATCCAGAGGAAGGCTTCGGGAAGCAGCAGGACTCACAAGTGACTAGATAAGGATGCCTGGAATAAGAGTGTTTGAAACTTTAGAGGGTCTTCAAGATGAGCATTTCCAGTGTTTGCTTAGCCAGCTCTTGTTCCACACATGGTTCAGCTCTATCCAACTACAAGCTCTGCCCCTCCCCATCTCTCCTACTTTCATACTTTTACAAAGACAAATTATAATGTTTATTCACAAATACTTGTAGATGTTTCCAAAAATTACCAATCACTTTTATAAATATGGCCCATTGGAGTGTTTATTTGACCTGGTATTTGCAAACTTCATTTTCCATACTAATTATAAATTGTGTGAGGTGTGTTCTTGGTTGAATAAGCTCTGTGTTTAAAAGAATCCTTTACTGTATTGTTATTAAAATGGGGGTAATAGGAACTTCCTATTTTCTATATCAAAAAAGTGATAAAATTGAGGGAATGTACGTTAAGTGGTTCCAAATTTCCAGAGGAAAATGCTACTTTTTTTTTTCCTTTCCAGATAAAGTATATTGTCAGTATTTTTCAATTTCGCACTTCTTATGCTGTCAGTAATTTATGAAGTTGTAACACTTACCTTGGAATCTTATTATTATTATTATTATAATTTATTTAACAATCTAATAAGTTCACAGTTATGAGCAGTTCCAGTGCAGTTGGGAAATCTCAGTACTGTTAATGTGGCAGACCTTGTAAATAAAATACACGGGTACTTTGGATAGCACATGTGAAGGGAATCTCTCTAAAACTGACCTCACTGGTTTCATTCTTGGCAAACCGACCTGTCCCATTCAGCATGGCCTTTATTGGTCCTGATATAAGAGAAAAGAGTATGTTCTTCAATCTCTTTTTATTTTATTTATTTTATTTTACAATAGATGCATGACCAAAAGACAGTATTAATTTGTCAGACACAATGTCAGGGCCTTCACAACTGCCATGGGCTTTGTCCTCTCTATCCATCATGTTCTTATAAAAGTCTTTGATCCCACAGGAACTTCAGTAGTTTCCTGGTGAGGTGGAGACTTACTCAGGCTGTTATCCACTTGCGTCTGGAGGAAGCGCGTAGTGTTCTCTAGCTTTAAATTTTTGAATCTGTTTCTCAGTTTATTTCCTCAATATGTCATGGCTTAAATTAGAACAAGGACTTTAATTGGTATTATCCCATTGTTTTCTCCAAATCACCTGCCCTACTGTTTGCTTTGCCTTGTTTTGGCTGTTGTTTGGAGTGCTGGATAACACATAAAAGTCCTTGTGCATGGTACACAAGTGCTCGACCACTGAGCTACATGTTCAGCCTCCTGTAGTCCTTTTGATCTTTCCCTCCTATGCAACTTGTAAATAGTAATATTAATTCATGGGCCAGCAAGATGGCTCAGTAGATAAAAGAACTTGTTGGCCAAGCCTGACAATCTAGGTTCAATCCCCACAGGTCTCACACACTGAAAGGAGAGAAATGATTCCCAAAAGTTGTTCCCCAGCCTACACACACACACACACACACACACACACACACACACACACACACACACACACACACTCTCTCTCTCTCTCTCTCTCCACAAGTTTAATTCAAAATAAAAATATTCATTCATAAAATTTATGGAGGACTTTCAAAGAATTACTGATCACTTTTTAGCTCAGGCTTCTCAATATTTATCTTTAACTTACTTTGGGAAGGGATTTGCAGCCAGAGTTCAGTTAATTAATTGCCCAGCAATTAATAGCAATTGTGATTCCAGAGCCTTGACTCTATTCAGAACATTAAGTCCCTTTCTGCCCCATCCAGGTTTTACAGGGTCTGAGGTGTCTAGAATTTTGATAGCTCTCTCAGAAACCAAAATTATAACATATAACAAGAATATGATCCTGCTCAGTGCCTTGGAAGGGGGGGCTATTCAAGTGAGGGGCCTTCAGGGTTTAGGATTAGTTTTATGGAAAAAAAATCTATTTATTCTTTTATAAAGTCTTTATAATCTACTTTTGATCATACTCCCCCTTCACCAACCTCTGTTAGCCCCTCCTGCTGAATACTTTCTTTGTAACTTTCCTGTCTATTTTGTTTTGGTGCCTCACTGCATTTAATTAGTGTCGCTTCTGGTGAGCATGGACTGGGGAATTTTTTTTTTTTTTTTTTTTTTTGAGACAGGGTCTTACTATTTAGCCTTGGCTGTCCTGGAACTCACTATATAGACCAGGCTGGCCTCAAACTCATACAGATCTACCTGCCTCTGTCTCCAGAGCACTGGGGACATGAAAGGTGTACACCACCACACCTATCTTTCTTTTTTTTTTCTTTTTTGGGTGGTGCTAGGGACCCAACCCTGGGCCTCATGCACGTTAGACAAGTACTGTACTTCTTAACCTCTGAGCCATCTCTCCAGCCCCAGTACTGTACTTCTTTAAGCTCCATCCATCGCCTTGAAAAAGCAGTTTTCAAAAGATTATTTTTTTAAATTAAGAAAAAAATAAGTGAAATAAGAAAAGAAGGGGCTGGAGATAAAGCTCAGGAGTGGAGGAGCACTTACCTCCAGCACTGGGGGGTGGGGGATGAGGTGTGAAGTAAAAACTAATTGTTTAACTGTATTGTCATAGCAACCCTGAGGGAGGTTATGAGGTGGGTATTATCTTTCTTGTACAGAGTGGAGAATGAGGTTTGCCTTGCCTAAGGGCATAGTACAAGTATCAAAGGCAGAACTCAGGGAACCTGGCTCCCAGGTTTATACTGGGAATGTATCACTGTTTCCCACCACATTCCATAGTGCATACCCTTATAAATTCACACCTGAAATCGGGTGCATGCCTGCAATCCCAGTGTGGGGAGGTAGAGAGAGGCACAAATGTAAGAGCGTCCTCAGCCACACAGGTAAGGTCTGAGGCCAGCACAGGGTGAATGAGACCGTGCCTCAAGAATAAAACAACAAAAAACCTCCAGATTCTAAACCAGGTTCTTCCCATCTCTCTAGCTCACCTTTTCAAACCATCTCCCTGAACACTTGTCACCAGAATGATCCAAGTACTCCCCCCCCCCCTTTTTGTGGTGCTGAATATCAACCCTGGGGCCAGACTCCTGAAAACTAAATATGGTACCACTGAACAGCCTAGCCTTACACTAACCATCCTAAAGCACCACTGTTTTAAGTTCCAAACACCCCAATGATCTGAAGAGCTTTACCCTTCTACTCTTTTATCGGATATAAAAGGCAAATTATTGCTCATAAGCAGTACTTGTCAGTGGACTTCATACTGGAGCCTAACATTTCTTACTGAGAAGGTAGGTGACAGCACACGGCACCTTCTCTTCAATCTCTGGTTCTTCATTCACAAGAGAAACTACAGAGTCTATTTCAGAGTGTTAGGAAAAGTGAGTGTAGGTGAGGAGAGGCTGGAGGGCACATGAGGAGGAGGAGGGCAGGGTTCTGGTATGCAGTAATCTTCAAAAAATTTTCTTACCGGACGTGGTGGCACAGGACTTTAATGCCAGCACTCCCGAGGCAGAGGCAGGAGGATCTCGAGTTCGAGTCCAGCCTGCTCTACAGATTTCCTGTGCAGCCAGAGCTACAAAGAAACACTGTCTTGAAACGCCCCCCCCCGCAAAAAAAAAAATACTAATTTACCTCTTCAAGGGATTTTGCTATTCTTGACTAAGAATCAAAAATGGCTCTCCTGACACATCAGCCTCTGTAGTTTTGACTTTAAGTGCTGACCACTTCCTAGCTTGGTGACTTCTGCCAGTCAACCTCGTGAAGCCCGGGGTTCCTTATTTACAAAATCTTCTTAGTTAGAACCTACCTCCTAAGGTTGTGAGGGTCATACAAGTTAATTCTGGTGCAGTACTTAGCATGCAACGGTCCCAACTCCACTAGCTAGACTTCCATCCTGTCCCCAAAATTCAGTGTCCATAGAAACCAGGCCTGAGAGCATGCTCCAGCTGCGCTTCCGACGTGCACTCCCTCCGCCCCAGGGCCAGAGTCTCTCGCGACCGACTCGTCCTTTTAAACTCAGCGTTCATCAAATGCCACAAGTCAGGCTCTGTGACGAGACCCTTGCGTAAAACTGCGCCTTAAACTTCCTAGCGCCTCCACAGTCGCGGATTTAGCGCGAGGAAACAGGCCCGGAGCGTTCCAGCGACTTCCTCGGGTCCCCGAGCCCGGGTTCCAGGCCCGTCTTGGAGTCCACCAAGCGTCCGAGCCGCACCGCGTCCATTCAAACGCTGCCCAGTGCCTCGACTCCGCCCGTCCATCATCCTCCGCACCTCGGGGCCGGCCTCGGGGCAGCCTTTCCCGTCTCCCCTGCAGAGCCTGAGGGGTGAGGCCCGCGATGGCGTCCCGGGCACGCGCGAAATGCAGTTACCCTTCCAGAGCGCCGAAAAGCGCCCAAGGGCTGTTGCGGGGGGTCTCCCGGGCCCCCGGGGCCGGGTCACGTGGCGGGGGAGGGGGCGCGGGCGCGGGCGCGGGCGCGGGGCGCGCGGGCGCGCGTGGCCGAGCGGGCGGGCGGGCGCGCGCAGCCGCCGACGGCGTGGAGAGAGGCGCGAGATGCCGAGCCGCCGGGTGTCTGTATGATGGCAGGGAGGGGGCGGCGGCCGGGAAGGCCGACTCCACCCCCTGTGCGCATGCTCCGGCCCCCGCGGGTTATAAGGCAGCCGCGCCTGCCCTGCCAGACAAAGTGGCGAGCTGCGACGTGACTGGTCCGCCGTGTGGGTGCCGCAGCCAACGAACCCGGCGGCGGCGGCGGCGGCGGCGGCAAGGGACGCGAGCAGGACCCGGGGCTCCGAGGAACGGCGGCCCGCGCCGCCGCGTCACGAACCCTCCGGGCGCCGCGAGGCGCATAACGGTTAGTCGGGGCTGAGCCGGCAGCGCGCCGCACGGACTCTGCGGTGCCCTTGGTGCCCCCCCGGTGTGGGGTCGTGGAGTCCGGCGGGCACGCGGAGACTTGCGTCCCCGGGTCGGGGTGGGGGGGGGTGGGGGGGGTGGCGGCCCGGCAGAGGGCATCCTGGGCGCGCGGAGCCGCATGGTCCCGGAACGTGGCGTGGGTGAAGGGGACCTTAAGGTGCTGGGTACAGCGTCACGCCCGGCCGGACCGCGCGCTGCGGGCCCGTGGTCAGGTGTGGCCGCGGGGCTGCGGGAGTCGGGTCATGGTGCCCGGTGACCTTGTGAGAGACGCTTCCAGCCCAGTCTACGGTAGGCGCCTGGAGAGATGCTTAGATCGGAAGAGGGACGACCTGGGGCCGGTTCACGTGGTGCACTCCTGCCGCCTTCTGCTCGGAGGGAAGGGACTGGGGCGGGAGTTATTTAGGACTCGTGGCATGCCCGCCCAGCCTCCCCCTCCTGCCAATCGGTGTCCCACCTGGTGGCTTGCTAGAGTGGTGTGAGGAGCTAGCTGCATTGCCGACCGCCGTGACAAGACTGCGGGGTTCGAGTGAACTTGGAGGAAGGGGCGGGTTAGGGGCTCTTTGTGGTCCAACCTGTGGCTTCTGTGCGTCTGCCGGCGGGCACGGGGGTCTTGAGGCATACCTGGAGAAAAGACTTAAATAGCGTTACATTTGGCCAGATGCACGCTTTCTGTGCTAAGTACATCCTTCTTCCGAGTGCATTTTTTTGCCTTTCTTTATGGTGGCGTATTTGGTGCAATCTGCAGTTGCGAAAACTAGTTCTGATCACTCAACCAGGAAACGCACGTGTTACTACTTCAGTCTTTTCCCGTTTTCCAGTGGCTCGTTATAAACCGGGCGTCTCCTGCTAGTAGTTACACAGTGACAAGCTCCTTTTTTTTTTTAATTAACCATAACTAATTTTGAAATCTTCAGGCATTATTCGACATAGGCTGAGGGTGTGTAGCTCAGTGGTAGAGTACCATGCCGGAGGCCCCAAAATCTGATCGCCAGCATTGAGAAAAAAAAATTTGGTTTGTAACAAAATGAGTACAAGATGACGTGTAAGATTAGTAAGTGTTTGGGAGTTTGGGCGAGGGTGGATAGGAACTAAGTCAAGCAGGGTTGATTTTTTTTTTTTTTTATCTCAGCTGCCAGCTGAATAAGGCAAGAGAAACTGTATCTTACTTATTTTGCTTACTTATTTTAGTTAGTTGCTAAATGGTGCTCCTAAATCCAAGTCTTTGGCGATGCGTGTGTGAAATAGGGTCTCACTTTGTGGCCTTAGTCTCTCATAAATTAAATCCAAGGTGTACAGGTAGGAGGTATAGGCATTCTATAGTGAGACCCTTCTCAAGTCAAAGTAAAAATATCCAAGTTTTACAACTTTACCTTCCATTTACCATAAGAAATGACCAATAATCCAAGACTTTTAGACTGTGATTTATTTATTTTGGTGTGTGTAGGTGGGGGGTTAGAGACAGGGTTTCTCTGTATCTCTGGCTGTCCTGGAATTCGCTCTATAGACCAGACTGACCTCTCAACACGCAGAGATCCGTCTGCCTCTGCCTCCCCAGTGCTGAGATTAAAGGCACACCCATCCTAGGATTAATTAATTAATTTTTTTTTCAATCCTGGCATGATCGGACATGGGATGACCTGGGAATTGAACCGGGTTCCTCTGGAACATCAGCCAGTGCTCTTAAACACTGAGCCATCTCTCTCCTCAGGATTAATTTTCTAATTGAGTGTATTTCAGTAATTTCATTGTGAATTTAAGTAGGTACTGTTGGTTTATCAGATTACAGTGACCTTGTTAAATATGCAAGCTCTTATTTTGAGGAGCATTTTAGAGATTTAACTGTGGATTTACATAATCCTAAACAGATTAAGGGCAGGAGTGTGGGGGAGTGATTATGGATACCTATAAACTCAAGCAAGAAATAGTGTTCGATTAGTATTTTCCCAACTTCTTAAGCCCTCATTCCCATTGCACTAGAGCCCACTTCCTAGTATGCACTCCATTTAAGGTCCCTATCCCTGTATAATGCCGGCTTGACTGTTTTTAGACTGGGACTATAAACTTGAATGCAAGGAAAACTGAAAGTTGTGAATTGAGAAACTTAGGATTCAACAGTGAGTGAGAGTCTAGCACTTACCCTGGGGTTTGTAGTCTAGCTGGAAAGCAGATATAGTTCAGTACTCTTAGCAAACAGTTCCTGAGTTTCAGGGGAAGTTACCATAGGAACAAATACTGTATTGTGTAGGTGAGAGGAGATGCTCAGGAAATACTGTTTAGCCAGGTTTGACTAAGGAGTGGGAACTCAGGAGCCATAGGGTGACAGGTTTAAAGGGCGTTTCAGACAGTTCTGGGGGCTATGCAGAAGCTGAAAGAATTTCACCAAAAACTGAAGCACAGAGAGAGGTCAGAAAGAATGGGAGGGAATAGAAATGTCAGCTAATGGAGGGCCTTTGTCATTTTAAGGACTCAGGAAGAGACTGAACAGTTTGGTTGGAATCATACTTTTGAAGATAGTTGAAAGTTATGGAAAGGGGGTTAAAGGGGGTTCAGAGTGGGACCATGTGGGAATACCTGGTGGGAATCCTTGAAAGGAAAACAGATAGGTTTTGGGTAGGGGACTAGGTGTTGGAGACTGGAGAAGCCAGGGTGGAGTTAAGGATGTGGCTCAGGTTGCTGGCTGGAGCAAATACAAGTTTTATTTTCATTTTAACCAATGGGAATCCTGAGGCAGTGTGACTGCACCAGAACCGCCCAACTTCTAAAACTTGTGGATAAAATTCAGAGCTATTTCTGCCCTCTTGTCTTTTTATTGGTGAAGCTGAAATTTCTTTGTTTCCTCTATACCCTTCTCTACAGTTTAGTATGGAAAATTTTAATTCCTAAGAAGCTGAGCCACTAGTGATTCATTGCTATCCCTACCTACTTTTCCCAGTGTCTGATTGATTGTTGTGAAGCAAATCCTAGATGAAATTTTTTCATATCTAAATATTTTGGTATATAGTTCTAAAATATAACTTTATTTATTATTGGTTTTTAAGGGCAGGCTTTATCTGTGTGCCTTGGCCTACAACTCACTCTGTAGACCAGGCTGGCCTCAAACTCAGATCCGCCTGCCTCTGTCTCCAGAGTGCTGGGATTAAAGGCTTGTGCCACCACCACCTGGTCTAAAAGATATATACACATATGTATATGTATATATAATTTTTTTTTTTTTTTTGGTTTTTCGAGACAGGGTTTCTCTGTGTAGCTTTGCACCTTTCCTGGAACTCACTCTGTAGCCCAGGCTGGCCTCGAACTCACAGAGATACACCTGCCTATGCCTCCTGAGTGTAAAAGATTTTTTTAATTTACTAAATTTTGAAATCTAGGGTCTCATATAGCCCATGCTGGCCTGGACGTCATTATGTATCAAGGGTGACCTTGAACTCTTGCCTCTCTGGGACTTTAGGTGTGCACCACCACACCCAGTTTATGAAATGCTTTAGATCAAACCCAGCTTTATATCCATAGTTACCTGAAAGATAGTGTTCAGAAATCCATAATCACATTATCCTACCTTTAAAAATTAACATCATCAAATACCCATCAGTATTCAGATTTTTCCAAATTTTATTTATATTTATTCATTGATCTTGTTTTTAATGATCAATTACCTTGATCAAGGATACAAACAGGGCCATATGTTATATTTAGTTGATGTCTGTGAAATCTACAAGTTCCTCATCTAAGTAGTTTATTTGAAGGAAACAGGCCCCTTTTCTTCTAGCTTTCCCGTTTGGGATTTTGATGAATTGTGCTCATGGCATAGTTTTAATATGGCCTAGTTTTGTGTATCCTGCTGAGTAAAGGGTTAGGAGAGATCAAGTATATTCCATGTTTGCTACTTCTGCTTGGAGTCTGTGATGGGTTTCCCTCTTTGTTCTGTCTGTCTTCACAGCCTAGTCTGCCATTTCATTGCACTTTAATGTATTACCCAGAACACCTTGACTACAGGTGCAGTTTGAAGGAAGGGACATTAAAGCGCAGTCAGCTAGGGTCGGTCCCACTGCAGTGTGCGTTTCAGACCTTCTCTTAGAGCCTTTAATCTCAGCACTCAGAAGGTGGAGGCAGGTGGGTCTGTGAGCTTGAGGCCAGCCAGGGCCGCACACAGAGACCCTGTCTCTGAAAGACACAATGAAAAACGAGCAAACTGGAGGGGTGCACACTTCAATCTCAGTGCTGGAGAGGTGGAAACTTGAGATCTGAGCGGCTCTCTCCATGCCTGCCTAACCTGAGCAAGCCCCAGACAAAATGAGAGACCTTGTCTCAACAGAACCCATGCAGATCTCTGGCTTCCACAGGTCCATGCACCTGCAGGCATGTGTAAACACACATTTTCATGGTTTCCCACTTTCTACCATATTAATTTGTCTGAGT